AAATATTTTACCCCCGTTTCCGCAGTGAAAAATAACAAAATGGCTGCCTCTGATAATTTATCGAAGAAGTGCTGCGGAAACATGGCCTTAAACTTTAGTCTCACTGTCTTAATGCACTACGGTATGTCCGTTTAAACTTTTAAACTAAATTGCTGAGTTTTCTTTTCCAGAAGGAGGCCTTGTGTGAAGATGTTATTTATGCACTTCAGAGGCTTGTCAAAGGATTAGCATCTTCAAGACAAGGAGCAAGACAGGGATATGCTACAGCACTTGCAGAGGTATAAAAAAAAATTGTTATTCAAAAGTGGCTGCCAAATGTAATCCCCCCCCCCTTGCTAATGTATTGTTTTATTGTTAACACAGTGCATGTAGCAGATGCCACTGATGCAAAATTTATTACTGTAATATTAGCTTGTGTCCCAATAAAAAGGAGGGAAAAGGGTTTTTTCCCCTAAAGGTTGTTGCAAATGTTGGGATTGGGAAGTCTCATATTTTAGTAGGTTTCACTTGAGAAATAAATATATTATGATGCTTGTTTACAATAGATGTTTAGTATATACTGTACACTTGTATCTTGTTCAGATTTGTAAGAAATAACAAATTTTTATTTATTGGATAATCATAGTAATTGAAGAAAATGTATTAAATGCAATTTGGAATATTCAACTAAATCTAGTTAATAATAGGTACCATAACAATTAACTTTTGAGTAGGTTGATCAGCAATTATCATGGTGTTTAATTAACATGAATAATCATTGATTTATACTGTGTTTGTCCTAAGCTATTGGCATTGCTACCTGTCATCAGCTTGAAAGAGGTGTTTGTTTTGATTAAGAATCATCTCCATTCCAAGACAAGTAAACAGGTAAAATCATTTTACAAACTAACAATTAAACCTTTCTCATGGATCTCTATTTAGAAATGATAGTTGGTTTCCGTCTGGAATGAAACAGTCATAAGAGATTAAACTAGTGCCTCTCTTTAGTTTTTAATAAAGGTTGCACACATTATCAAAAGTGTATATTACACAATATACTTTAATGTTTCCTGTAATTCTGACGTTGTATAAACACAAATTGGTACCATTTTAAAGCCCTGTCCCGATTAAAATTTAGGAATCAAGATTCATTTTATTGACTTTTCCATAAAAAATACATATGTATAAAATGAAAATGTTTTGTTTTAATACACACATTACCAAGTAAAATTTAAAGTATATTAAAATAAGTAAAATACAAAATATAAAAATGCAGTACAATGCAGTATTCGGAAAAAGGTAAGGGAGTGTCTCCTGGGGTGCTGCCCAATTCACTATTGTGTAATTCACACTTCTATCGTATACAATCATAGTTACAACTTTAAGAGATTCTAATGTAAAAATGAAAATCATTAATGTAAAAGAGAGACATAAAAAAAAAATAGATTCCCAACAATAAGATCAAAAGGTTAAAAAATGTGTAAAATATACAGTTTACATTATTAAGATTCATTTTTATTTGTTGGCTTATCATATTTAATTTGAAAAAAACATGGCTAAATAAATGTGGTCATGATGACATCACATCATGACGATATATAGGCACATCATGGTCATAAACAGTTTTTTGTGATCATCTTATGGGCATACAACAGTTTTTTTGTGATCATGGGCATACAACAGTTTTTTTGTGATCATATGTTCATACAACATTTTTTTTGTGATATGGGCATGCAGTATTTTTTTTGTGAACATATGGGCATACAACAGTTTTTTTGTGATCATATGTTCATACAACATTTTTTTTTTGTGATCATGTGGGCATGCATCAGTTTTTTGAAAATCTGGACGGTTTAAGATAGTATAATACACACTCCAAGTATTGAAATGCACGCCATCGTGTCAGAATTCAATATTTTGACATTCAGTATGTCATCATCAGGACAGTTTAAGGGATAACAGTTAATCTGATGCCATATTTGTGTAATATGGTGGAATATAAGTTAGAATACCAAGTTTGACCTTGATAGCTATTACCAATCCCGAGTTATAAGCTTCCAAAGTTGGAGGAAATTGCATTTGCGCATCTTGAAGAGCCACGCCGCTTTTTTGGGCCGTCAATATCTCGGAAACTACAAAACCTATAACCCTAATTTTTTTAAAGTGTTGGTTTTTCACATAGTAGATCATTTTTATGGAGTTTCATCAAAATCTGAGAGGGTCATACTTTTTTGAAATCTGGTTGATTTGACACGGAATGACCCTCTAGTTTAAGCACCACTCTTGAATAAACAAAGCTAATCATCCAAACGTTTTACAAGCACTGTGACGCTAATTTAGTAATGTACGGTAATATTCCACAATGTGGCCCAAAACTTTGCATTGATTGACAGGAGGAACGAGAGCATCTTTTTGGCCAGGTGTTTGCATACATCGCCGTAGTACAATCTGGCAGACTGCAAGCAGTAAGTATTTGCTATTCTATACATTTTAAAAATATAGTTTTTATTAGAATTTGTTACATTATATATTGCCATAAAAATATTTCACTTGAGATTTTCCTGAATTAGGCGTAAAAAATATATCACAATATATGTAGAAGTGGTTTGGTGCAGCGGGAACAGTTTGGTTTCCCAACCTCAAGATTGAGGTTTCAATCCCTCGCTGTGCATTTCACTTGTGTCTTCAAGCAAGGCACTTTATCTGCATTGCTTCTCTCCATCCAGGAGTATAAATGGGTAGCTGAGGCAGTTCAATGCAAAAATGCGCTGATATATTTCATGTAGCAAACTAAATTTCCCCCATAGGCGTTATTCCATTGACTGGGGTAATAGTAATGTAGAAAAGCACTTTGACACTTAGTTGAATAGAGAGCTATATAAAAGCCTGCATATTATTATTATTATTATTATTATTATTATTATTATTATTATTATTTAATTATTATTATAGCTATTCATAATTCATTAATTTCATGAATAGAATTGAATTTGTTCAGTAGTTGAAATTGACATCAAGTATTTTAATTACAAGTTAGTTGCGTAACAATAATATGTTTGACTACACGGACACATTATTGTACATATACAATTATGGCCATTATTATACTTTGCCATTTGAAACAAGTTTATGTTATATATATGCTGAATTAATTTCATCTTAAAATGTAACATATATGATACTTATTTATGTTGTACAAATTGTCTCTGACTTAATTTTTCAAAATCTGAATATACATCTGAGATTTCGTTTTTCAAATTAGGAAGATGGAAAGTATACAGTAAATGTTCTTGCAAAGCTTAAAGCATTTGCAGACAAGAAAAGCTATCTACAGGAAGTATGCACTCAGGCAGCAGCAGACTTGATTTGTATGGTAGGGAGAAATTTTATTACTGTTGTTAAATTGATAGTCCAGCTATGTGAGCTAGTCTGCCCTCATTAGATTAGAGTGGCTTTGTGGTTAAGATGCTACTTCTGTTCCAAAATTTCTGGGTTTAATCCTTTTAACTATGATACATTCCAGGTGATAAAAATATTCTATTTTCTTTTATACAGACAACTATATTTTCTTGAATATTAATCTTTGATGAACCACCATTATTCGGTATTAATTAGTACATGAATAGAAATTATTAATATTAGTTGATGATTAATATTAGTTCCTGAGCAGTTGGCTGAGAAGAATTCTTGTGCTGAAGACCTCTGTTCAAACCCGGCCAATCTGGGTTTAAATTGGGAGTCTGATCGCTGGGCTCCTCGAATAACCTGCACATTCAGAAATAGTCTTGGTTAAGGACAATGTTTGTATCCGTATGTGTTTGTTATATGTTTGTAGTTAAGCCGGGTGGCACTGCACTGCAGCTGCTACCCGGGTCTGCAGGGGCCCAGCCTAAACTTCTGATTTCAAATTAGAATGAGGACGAATAAAGGATTATTATTATTAACCAAACCTTTTGAGTCTATTTTTTTTCTAATTTTTTTTTTTTTTTTTTTTAGAGCTCGAAAGAAACCTTTAGTGAGCATATCTGGCCGTCTTTGAAGACTGACCTGAGTTGTGGCTGGGAAGGGTGTCCCCCTCACGTTTTGCAGATCCTGTTAACATGCCATCGCTGTTTTCCTGTATGTATCACATTTCAGTGCAACTCATAAACTAACATAGTGTTAATGGTCACCTGATGTGGCAGTGAAGCTCTTCAATTAGCATACTGTAGTATTAATGGACATCTGTTTAATTTTACGTAGTATTTGATGGACACCTTCATAATGTGACAGGTGCTCATTAATTGTCATAGGCCTAGTTCAGACTAGGTGGATAAACCCGGCTCAACTCACCGGGTTTATCCACGTGCCAGTCTGACTTAAGTGGCTTATCTCAAGCCGGGCTGTGTTCCTATAGTAACTAGGCCTGGCGTGCCAACGTGTTTAACTTTTCTAAGCCGGCCTTTAATCGTTGAGGGGGTCTTGCATTGACTTCCGGGTAACAAAATGACCAATCAGCATTCAATTACGCACGCTGTGAGCGAGCATACGTTTCTAGCCCAATGTTTCCAAACTCGTTTCCTGGTTACGGTTCATTATGCTAATTCTCGCGCCTGGCTAATCCCGCTAGTCTGAACGCCTGGCAAAGTTAAGCCGGGCTTAACTCAAGCCTGGCTTATCTCCAAGTCTGAACGTAGCCATAGAATTTTATGTACACCTGTGTTATGTACTGTTACCTTTGCCATTGTTGTTATAACTTTACATATTACCATTTAATTATATGTTTGGTGTTAGTAGTAACATTGATTAATAATATTATATTACAATTACTATTATCTTCATCATTAATATTAATTTAATTAAAGTATTTTGTAAGGCTGTTTTTCCCCCAACAGGATGTTGTTAAAAGCAAATTTCTGAAGACACATTGGCAGCACAAAGACATCTTACATCGTGGCAATCTTGGTCACATTGTAAAAATCCTCACAGTAAGTGCTCTATCATTCAAGCAGCCATTTTGTCTAAATTTGTCTTTTGAAGATCAAGTGTGAAAAAAACTTGCGTAAAAAAAAAGCAGCTTATCTCCTTTTTAATAATCAGTATTTCCATAAGAATACAGGAACTCTTCCCTCCCTTTTCGGCCTAAGGCTAGATTTTTTTATATCTTAACCCACTGCCACAAAAAATGGAAATTTCAAAAAAAAATTTTCTTTATATTTATTATGCCTGATGCTGCCTTAAAAATATTATTCCTAGTTAAAAAAAAAAAAAAAAAAAAACCATCCCATTACTACACTGTTTACATTCACCAATACAATTTTATTTTTATTTTTTCCTCTGTGTGGATGTTTTTAGCAGTAGTATTTGCTAAATGAAAAGCCAAAATTTTATTTTTATTTTTGTTTTTGCCCTACACTGACGATCTTTAAAAAAAATAATTTTGCGAAACAAGGTATAGGAAAAGCTCACATATTGAATATTTTCTAACAATTTTTTTGAGAATCAAGCTGACTCTAAATCTCTCCACTATTGTAGAATAATGTTTTACACTTTTCCATTCCCATCTTCTCGACCTACATTTGGCATCAAGCCTCACATAAATCTGCCAAAGCAACTGTCTAGGCATCGATTCCTAACCTCCACATTATACCTCTCACCCCACCCAGTATAAGTATGGTAAAGGTCGAAACCTGAACCTTTGGGCTTACAGGCTGGAGTGCCCGTCTCCCTGTCCTTTGGGCCAGACTGTGCAAGGCTGTGAGGGGGGTTCGCCACTCCTTCCTGCACAACAGTCTGTTTTACCTTCCTAGCATATGCCAGTACCCATTTATACTCCTGGGTGGAGAGAGACAAAGGTAGATAAAATGTCTTGCCTAAGGACACAAGTGACTTGCACAGTGAGGGATTCGAACCTCCGACCTCAAGGTTGAGAGTCCAAGCCACAACCGTGTCACAACACTTCTACTATATTACCTGTGCTTTCTTAACAGGAGTCTACAATTATCTCGCATCCAAATGTCAACCACGTCTGTGATGAAGTGCTCAAGCTTGTTCTTCAAGATCAGGAAAAACTTGCTGTGTTTTGTCAACAGGTTATAGATGGTCAGTTTTTTTAAATTTATTTATTAGTTTTTTTCATTCAGTATTGTAAGTGCCAATATCAGGATGAATTACACAGGCTTTTCTTTTTTTTAATGAATAGAAACAACTTCACACCTTTAACCTCATAAGGAAACTTTATGAGAACATTATTTCTTTCTTTGTGAAATTTGAAATTCTCTTGCTTTTGGATAAGAATGAAATATAAAATTTTTAAAATATTACCATTGTGTAATATGTTCAATAACTTGAGGATAAAATTTTTTGATATAGTTTGAAGAGAAGTGGCCTACTCTGCAAGGCTCCAAACCCCCCCCCCCCCCCCCCTACTATTGCTAAAGTCCCAAAAAATCACAGTGTACGGTATATAAACATACTGTATGTTTTGGGACAACTCATGTGTGTAATAAGCATGTAATCATGGCCATGTTTATATTTTTCAGTTGTAAGTTTGATTTAAACTTCAAACCTGATGGGGAAAATACATGTATCATAAAAAGAAATTCTAGTTTGTGCTTTTTCTGTATTTTAATTATCCAAATTTGCTTGTCCTTTCAGATGGGTTGCTCCTTGCTCGGCAAGAATGTCGATACCTTGCACTACGACTTGTAGAGCGTCTTCTACGTGAGTGTAGTGCGCAAAGTGTTGATCATGTGATTAGTCCGGCTGTTGTAAAAGTTTTCCTTAATAGCTTGGCAAACAAACAACATTTTCTACATGAAGCTAGTAAAAAATTTGTAAGTATATTTATGGTGGATTGTGTTTTTTTGCTTTTCCATTAAATTAATCTTGTAATTATATTCAGATTCTGATTGTTAACAAAACATAACCAAGATTTCATTTTTTATTTTGTTTATTTGGCAATATATGTAAAAAAAGCATAGTAAAGTACAGCAAAAATTGAATGACTTATTTAAAACTGCTTGAAAAGACAAACAAGAGACAAGATTAACAAAAAACACAGCAAAAAAATTCAAACAACCACAGACACATTTCAGTTTGCTAGGACAAAAGTGAGAGACACTGGTATTAGGTGTGTCTGTCTAACAAAGCGTTTATACATACTTTAAAGCAAGAAACATCAATTGCTTTCAGCCTAGATATATTCCATTAAACCTGTTTTCCACATAGGCAAGGTTTATTCACGCGAATTGAAGGCGTCGATTCAGTTCCTGAGCTCTGATAGGTTGTGTACATTTTTCGCTTTGCAAAAAGTAGAAACAGTTCGGACTACCAATTTCCCTGAAGCGAAAACTCCAATAGAAATGTGAATGTGCATGTGCATGAACAGCGCTTCCGATTTGCGCGAATAAATTTGCCTAGTGGAATACAGGCTTTATGAACTGTGCATTGCTTGTTTAGGCAGCTACTACTGTACAATAGGAATAGACAATCCAAACCAAACTATTGTAATACAGTCAAATGTTTATTTTACGAACGTCAATTTTACGAATAGTTGATTTTACGAATGGGGTTTGCCCCCCTGATGATGTCATCATCGACCAATTATTACCGTAAAAGAAGTCTGATTGTGCACGTTTTACAAAGTGTTTTTCTTAAAAATATTCAAGCTTGTTGTATTTATTTATTAAAAGTTTGAGCTTTTCTTCCATTTCTGATCACTATAATATATTGTAATAGTCCTAACCAGAACAACGAACTACCAACGCAAGTGTCGTCGGATTAAGCGCACATGTTTACGATGACGAATGAGAGTGTTGGGGTCAGCAATTCATTGACATCACGAATGCTAGATATGATCGCGAAGTGCATCTAAACAACACAATTTCGCTGATCTAAGAACTAGAAAGAACACGATAGAAAGGTCCATAAAACATACAGATGTTTGATTAAGAGTTAAAATAATATTTTAGTGGAAGAATACCAGCGATTACAGTAATTTGGTTTTTAACGAAGGTAAATTCAACTAGGCTCTAGCGAGGTAGACCACGCTGCTGCACAGTCGGTTCGTGCTAGGCCTGGCTGCCGTTAGCCTATTGGCGCTCAATGGCAGGGGATAGCTAGGCCTAGGCATTGGAAAGTGACACCCGATCTAGTTTACAAATTTTTCAATTTACAAATACCCCTTGGTACCAAGGGGTACGTAAAATGGACGTTTGACTGTATTTGTTAATAACCATCAAACTAATTGTTAAACTTAAACTAAACTAAAACTCAAAATATTGGATAAATAATTAACAGTACATTTGTACATTGGTTTATGGTTTATTTTCTTCTCTATGTTGTTGTTAAGTGCTTCAAGGTTGTGACAACGTGAGGCGCTATAAAAATCTAAAATTATTATTTATTACTATATGTCTGAACTTAAGGTCTTCTTCTCATAACATATTGAAAATAAACAAAAAGTCTCATGTACAAGCTAACAATCTAAAATGTTTTTTTAGAGTACAACATTACCATTGGTTGTCAAAGAGATTCAAGATGGTGTTACGCAAGTTGAAATTGTAAAATGTCTTATAAGCAAGTAGGTAGAACATCTTTTTTTCTGTACTGTAACCTAAATTTATGTATTTATATAGAAGCATAATACGTATTATTAATGTATATAGCAACTAGGTATAATCTCTTATATACAGCATGCTTGGATGTATGGCTCTGCAAGTCAGTAAGCAGGACTTTTCATTTATAGGATTTTATATAGCGCAAATATCCAGAAAACTGCTTAAGGCGCTTTTGTCCATGGTCATTGGATACAAAATTATTCATATAAAGCATGTGACCTCCTCCGCTCCCTGGGAGGTATTTTTATTTTTTTTATTTTATTTATTCAATCATCCAACAGGACCAAGAAGGTCCCACTTACAGGCGAAGATTGT